GGACAATGTATACCAAAAGAATTCTTTCGAGATGATAATCAAATTCCTGATTGTCTTGATGGTTCTGACATAATTTCAATGTTAACATATGGAGTTATCGATTGTAACACTGCTAAACCATCATTTATTTGTGAAGATCTCATATGTACGCTTAAAAACTTTCTGACAAGTTCATGTACGTTTGAGCGAATTCGTCTGCTATGGAAAGCGATTTATTCTATCAAAGATGAATCGATTTCGGAAGAATGTTGGGCAAGTATTGGATGCTCGTTCCGAGTACCAGGTTTTGAAAAGTCATTTTGTCAGAAGATTTGTGACTTAGTACCATGTACAGAGATAATTAACAATACTTGTCCGGATATGTTTTATTTACCGAATGTTCCAATTTTCTTTGGTGATGTTTATGCTGCAGCTAGAAAAAGTGAGTTATTACAGAATCCCTATGCACTTTGTCCGTCACTTTATATATGCTATAACAATTCTCGTTATGATGGATATTTCATTAATCAATCAAAGATTTTTTTCAATAATCGTACATGTTTTTCTGATGCTTCGGACTCGCAGTGCAAATTTTGGCCTTGGCCACTTTTGTGGTCTCCTATCAATCAAGAATATCTAGTAGAACTGTACAATGGCTTAAAGAGATTCAGTATAATTATTAACTATAATTCTACAATTTGTAATCGATCAAACAAATATCAATGTGCAAATTCGTCGAAATGTATATCTATTAGTCGTCTTATGAATGCTGTGCATGACTGTCCTGAATCAGATGACGAAGATATTTCGAAAATCAATCATATTAATTTAATACATCCTTTCAACAACTATTTTAAATGTGAATTAGTTAATAAGTATATCGAACAATTTCGTTTTCAAAATCGACATTGTGATTGTTTAGTACAAGACTATCATTTTTGTGAAGATGAAGATTTACATATTTACTTTGTAAGAAAAAATATTTCATTTCAAACTATTTGTGATCGATTTACTGAATTAGTTCCCATTACTATTAAAGATAAAAATGAGACTGACGAAACAGAATGCGAACAATGGTCTTGTAATAATATATATACTCGTTGCGATGGTGTATGGAATTGTCTACGTGGTGAAGATGAAATTGGTTGCGATTTATCAGCAACATTTAATTGTCCTTCAGGTCATCATCAATGTATTTCGTTTCTCACAAATAAATTTACATGTCTACCTATTGATAAAGCAAATGATGGCAATATTGATTGTGTTGGGGCTACTGATGAGCCATCGTTATGTCAACCAAAATATGAAGTATATCTTTACGATAATTTTTATTGTAGGCAATCAAATGTGTCTGGTTGTCATAGTAATAGAATTGTTTGCGATGCTTCGAAAGACTGCGATCATGGAGATGATGAGAACTTCTGTGTAACGAATCGAACTTCTAACCAACGTTTTGGTATATGTCATACGATTCATAAATCTATCCGTTCTGATGTTGAACAATTTCTTTGCGAAGAAACAAAACACAAGACAAAAGAACAAATTAAATATTTTTCATTGAATGGACTGGACATGTCGGTTGAACATCAGCCAAAGACTATGACAAAACCGATATCATCAATTTCATCTGTAAATGAAATATTTCATCTACCTGAACTTCAATGTCATCGTGGTTTTGCCTTACGTTTCTGGTTAAGCAATCGAGAGAACATAACACGAACTATATGTCTCTGTCCGCCCAGTTTCTATGGTGATATATGTCAATATCAAAATCAACGAGTCAGTTTGACCATTCAATTTCGAGCATTATCAGATTCTTTTTCAACAGTATTTACAATAATTGTTGCACTTATTGATGATAGTGAACAAAGAACTATTCATTCATATGAAAAATTAACTTATCTATCGATTAGAGATTGTAAAGTTAAATTTAACATTTATTTACTCTACTCGACTCGACCAAAAAATCAAACGAAGAATTATGCAATACATATTGATATATATGAAAAACTTTCATTAAACTATCGAGGAAGTTTTCTATTTCCAATAAAGTTTCCATTTTTACCTGTTCATCGATTGCCATATTTAGTTGATATTCCTCGAAAAGAAAAAAGTCAAATTTGTTCGAATTCAAAATGTGTTCATGGTAAATGTATCATATATTCAAATAATCCACAACATGGTAGTTTTTGTCAATGTAATCGAGGATGGTCTGGACAATATTGTACTATTTCACATATTTCCATGTGCTCATCAGATTCAATATTTATTGGTGTTTCGGCCTACAATAGATCTATATGTGCTTGTCCTATTAATAAATTTGGTGATCGTTGTCTTCTAGTGAATAACATTTGTCAAACAGATAGTAAAAATCAAAAATGTGAAAATGGTGGTCAATGTATTCCTACTGATGAATATACAATATCGAATAAAACATTTATTTGTATTTGTCCAAAAGGTTATAGTGGAGATCGATGTGAACTAGTTCATAATAAAATTATTTTATCATTTGGAAAAGGTATTGTTTTATCTCAATCGATATTTATTCATTTCATAGAAATTATTAATAATAATATACCTGGTAGAACGACTACTTTTCGAACAATACCTCTTCAACAAAATTCACTTACCATATACCGGTCACAACCATTTCATCTTATTTTTATCGAACTCCTGAATAAATTTTATTATTTAGCTCTTATTCAAACAAACTATCAACGATCAATAACAACTACTACAACAATTAAATCATCAAATCGTTGTCCACACATAAATGAATTATTCAATGAAACATTTGTACAAATGCATATTCTTCGCCGTATTAAATATTATCATCTACCATGTCAAAAATATTCATCAAATCTTTCTTGTTTCTATGATGATCGTTATATTTGTTTATGTTATGATTATGAACAACAACAACGTTTAGCCAACTGTTTTGATTTTAATCATGATATGAAATTTGATTGTTTAGGTCAAAGTGTCTGTGAAAATGGAGGACAATGTTTTCAAGACATGCCGGATTGTCCACAAAGATCAATGTGTATTTGTCCAACATGTTTTTATGGAGAACGATGTCAATTTACTTCAAGTGGATTCGGTTTATCTCTTGATCCTATCATAGGATATCATATTCAACCACGAATTAGTCTTTTTTATCAGCCAACGATTGTAAAAGTTAGCTTAGTGGTCACTATCATCTTTATGATAGCTGGATTTATTAATGGAATTTTAGCTTTAATCACATTCAATAATAAAAAAATATGTGAAACTGGTTGTGGTTTATATTTATTAGGTTCAACAATAACTACTTTACTCACAACGTTTATGTTTGGACTAAAATTTTCGATATTTCTTCTTACACAAATGACGTTTATATCAAATCGGGTATTTTTAAAAATTCAATGTTTATCACTTGATTTTATTTTACGAGTGTGTCTTAATATGGATCAATGGCTAAATGCATGTGTAGCTATAGAACGAGCAGTTACAATAATAAAAGCAGCTCGTTTTCGAAAGAAGAAAAGTAAACAAATAGCAAAAATTGTGATCGTTTTGCTTTTAATATTTATGATTAGTACTTCAATATATGAACCATTTTATCGACGTTTAATAGATGAAGAAAATGAAGATATTAAACGAACATGGTGTATTGTTACTTATTCATCTCATTTGAAAACATTTAATTCAATTGTTCATTCGTTTCACTTTTTTGTTCCATTTATTCTTAATCTAATATCAGCTATAATTCTCATAACAAAAAAATCTCATCAACAATCAAAAGTTCGAAGAAATATACGTTTCATAGAAGCTTTCAAAAAACAAATTCTACAACATAAACATTTATTTACTGCTCCAGTTGCATTAGTTATTCTTGCAGTACCACGTTTAATTTTATCATTTGTATTAAAATGTATGACATCAACAAACGATTCATGGTTATTTCTTATTGGATATTTCATTTCATTTATTCCACCTATGCTTACATTTGTGGTGTTTATAATACCATCAACATTTTATATAGAGCAATTTCATCGATCTCTCGCTGTTTATCGAATAAAAATAGGGCGACAACTTAAATATATTTCATAAAAGTAAGTAATATGATTTCATTGTTAAAGATATGTTTTGAGTCGATTTCTATTCGCTCTATTTCGGTTTATTAATTTATTATTTTACATTGCTGGTGTCAATTTGTGAAAAGAATCAATGAAGTTGAGTGTTTTAGTGTTATTACTAGATTTTTCATACTTTTAAATTAATAAAGGTCTCACGTCTATGAAAAAAGATGATTAAAACCTTTCATATCTTAAATTTGTGCAGCACACAGTCTTGTTCGAGATGAATTGAACGCGTTCTATATAAGAGACAGGGATTACTTTCATTGATGCTGTCGAGCATTTCTTTTCAATAAAAGATTTTGCTTAAAAATGAAGAAAATGTACTTATCAAGGATCAAATTTCTGTTATAATATTTGGTTTTTATCATATAGAATATATATATATATTATTTCTTCTTCAGATGATTCATTCGTATATCATATGAAAGTAAAAAAGTTTAAACAATTTTATTGTTGTGAACATGGCTTTTTTTCATGTGCTATATTTCTCTTGCTGCTTCATTTATTCTTCTTCAATAATCATAAATAAATATTAATTTAACCTTACATTGTTGTACGAATTACATTTTCTAATTCAGAAGATTGAAATTCATTGAGAGAACTTATTTTTGTAGAAATGTTTGTTTTTTGTCAAACACTAAAGTTTATATTATTGTGTGATGGCTAGAGATCTGCGGGATAGTCTCGAAAAATTTTCGGAATGGGACTCGGAACAATGATGGAGGGCGTGAGTATTCTTTTCTTACACACCCACACCGATACCCTCAATGCTGGATTAGCATAAAAAATAATAGGTCTATAATTTGATCGCAGTACTGAACATCGGTTATGCACATCGCTACTTTTTAGGACTGTCCAATATTATTTCATGGAAAAAGTTGATTTTATCTAGTTGATTTTTTATTTCAATCTATTTTGATCCATCCAATTAACAGCAAAATCGACTAATAAATATTGTTTCATCAATCGACATTCAGCCAGTCCAACTTTTCCTATTTTTGTATTTCCTTCAATCGAGTCAAATGCATGTCCGACGTCATTAAAATCTTTTGCATCATAATCATAATCATTCCATTCAAACCACTGACGTGTGTTTGTTTCGGGATTTATTATCGACGTACCACACACAAAAGTTTTCTTAATATTACGATCTATTTGAAAGCGATATTCAGCCAAATGTAATGATGTATTATTTTCATGTGGTACACCGAGTAGCAAAACATAACCATTATCAGTACAATCATACAAGCGAGCTAGTGGAGATTGTTCACCACATGAATCATAATGTTGATCAATAATTAATTTCGCTTTTCGACCAAGAGCAATCATTGAATATAGTGGATGTTGACTTCGTAAAACACCTGGCCAATGACGAAATGTTTCAGCTAATTTTCCCATGTTAAATGTTGGTGTTATATCTGTTTGATAACCTGGTATCGCTTGCCGAATAGTGTCAAACCACTCAGGTGGTACTGGTGGATTCTGCCAATATTTGGGCTCTGAATTATCCGCAGTATGAGATGGCATCACAAGAGTCCCATCAGGACCTAACAAATCTAATAGCACTTGTATGATAGTCACAGGTCCACCACAAACCCAGCCGATTTTTGACAATGAACAATGAACCAATAATGTTATGCCAGCTGTGATGCCTAGTTTCTCAAAGTCATCTTTTAGTCTGTCTGCTGTTAAACACATGCCAAATTCTTCATGCGTTCTAGCAATTAATGCTCGCTCTTTCGCACTCATTTTTCTACAATAGATACCACAGAAGAAAATGTATTCCAGAATTTTTCTTTTACGTTAACCAAGTTTTTTTTCCACGCAAAAACCTTCTAGAAAAATGTAACATTTATCGAATTGTGTTAGATAAGTTTTGAAAGATTTAATCGTAAGTAACAAAATAGTCGAACAGTCAGTGATACGTCAAGCTCGGGAGTAAGGAGGAACTTATCGTCATTTCTATAAAGTTCAAACTTCAATGTGCATGGGATTATGCAGATATTGTCGTTTTGTACAGTCTAGTACAAAAAGAGTAAAGATGTTTTTTCCTTCTATGAACAAACGATTTCATTCACATTTCCTAATCATTAATGTAACGACAAACTGGATGGAATGGCTTACCACCGGTGTCGGTGATGGCGTTTATTTAACTACTTCGCATCTCCAGAATGTAACTACTTCACATTAAACACACACGCTTATATAGGAGAGAGGAAGAGAGAGAAAGATGAGCACAGGAAAGAACAAATGAGACAAGATAGGGAAGAAACAGAAAAGAAAGATCAGCTGGAGGTGATATCAATATCGGCATAGTTAAAAATATCCGAGTAACAGAAAAAAGAATTTATCTTTCCGAATCGCATCATCATTCTTTACACTAATGAAACTAAAATTCGATCTTTTTGACAATATTTTTCAGTTTGATACTCGAAAGTACTGGATATAAGTCTTATATATAAATCAATTTTTCCCTTGTAGCGAAAATTAGTACAAAAATAAAGAACAAATGTGTTACCCTTAACTTTATGTTTCGTTTTTCCCATCATGCGTTACATTCGGGCAAGCCAAAAAATCACAACGTAGTATTGTGGTTCAAACTGTTCAAACACTATGAATACATTGGCAGTAGCCGACACTTAAGTTTTGTTCCTAAAGAAATAACGCTGACAAGAGGTCCTTTTCGAACTTCCAATGATTTAAGCATACATAGACCAGCAATTTGAGATAGAAATCAACAACACTGGCGAAATCCAATATATAGTCTGTAGGAATGAGAGAACTATCCAAAGTGTTTCCTCGAAATCGAAGCACTTGTATAAACATATTATAGATTTTTAGCTTGAACTTGCGCTGAGGTTCGGGAATTTTAAATCTCGATTTATTGCCAAACGTTAATTATTCACACCTCTTGGAGTGCAATTCTGTGAGCTCATTGACAGATCCATAAATAGTGAGTCTATGAAGTTAACTTGTCACGATAATACAAAGAAAGCAGATGAAATTCTGGTTATCTTAGATTTTACGACTAATCTCAAGAGATTAGTTTTCAAAGATCAATGCGGCAAAGCGGTGTGAGTCTGAACTAATATTAGATTCATTATTAAGATAGAAAACTACGTTTAACCATGTCTGTTTTGAGAAATAAGTGAGGGTACAGAGTTTCAGTCATTCAGTCATAAGTTGTACTTCTTCTTGTTCAATAATCTCTTACATAGAAAAATAACAAACACTCACTACGATTCACTTTGGTCGACCTGCAATTACTTTTGTGCTTGTTTGCTAGTAGACGCCATTACTCGAGAGAAAATGCATGTTCTCGTTTATCTCCAGTGTTTTATTGGCGTGCACGGATGATAACAGTCACTATGAATGAATATTATTCAACCTTGGACTTATCTTTGCTTTGTTGTTTGAACCAAGTAGAAGAAGGGTGTTTTTACTGAAATTAGAACGATTTTTGTTTC